TTTATTGCTGCGTGGAAATGGCAGAGGCAAAGCCTGGTCTGCATCAAGAACAGCGAGAGGAAGGGGGCTGCTGAATCGTTAGGCACCGGCAAATTTCTGCTGGCATGACCATGAAACCCATAAGAACTACTGCAAAATTCACCCCCCTGTCTCTCCACGCTCACCTCTCCCAGCTGCCCAAACCCTGATCACATCAGGCCAATTCACTTCTCGGGCTTTCCACAGTCTGTTTCAACCCCAGCTTCATTCCTAGAGCCTGCAGGCAGTGACCCAAGTCCCACCTCTGACTATGAGATCTGGTATCCCAGGCCAGTAAATCTGTTTTTGAAGGAAACACCTTTGTGTCTCCCTAGAGTCTTCATTTCTCCCACACCTCATGCTGCGAAAGATCTCTCCGTAAATCCGAAAAGATAACTTCTGTACTTCATTAGATCCCTCTTCAAAACTCTCCTTCACTATGATGTTTACAAAAAAAATTCACACAGTTTAGTCTATTACTATCCAGTCTATTAATAGACCCCAATTTAGTCTATTACTGTAATTGCCCAGACAAACCAGAGGTGCTTCTCTGTTTCTTTGCACCACCCTTTTGCACCCATCGTGGTTTGTGTTAGACTATGCTCTCTGGAGCAGAGTGTCTTGTCTGCAAGAGCACACAGAGCCAACACAGAGGAGCCTGCGTATGCCTTCGTTAGGTGTATTTTTTAACACTGGAGGAAGTACTTTCACTAATGAACGTATTCCATTCTATTCCATTTTGATTTCACTCTATTATTAGATATACCCACATTGAACAGATGTGTATTAGCTTAGTCAATTTATCAACTTCAGCAAATAAATCTGTCAACAAAAATTAAAAATGCATAGCAATCCTTTTTGATCTGCCCTCCTCAAAGCAGCAGACACAGGAGGGTGGGAAGCAGCTCCCACCACCAAGATTGCCGCGGGCCGTGCCTAGCAATTCGGACCAAGCACAGCTTTGTCACTTGGGTGACAGCAGCCTGTTCACCCCAGTTAAGCCACTCCTTGAGACTGGGATTCTATCTGCCCTTATCTGAAGTTGCTTCTTAGAGGCGTGACAGTCCAGTGGCGATGGGAAGAAAGATTTGAAGTTTCCCACTAATTGAATTAACATTAAAAAAGTAGATTTTTCATAAAGATTTCACTTCATGAAGACATTTTTCACAGGCTTCTCTCAAGAGCAACAAACTGAAATTCTCAACAGATTTTAGAAAAAAAAAAAAAAAAAAAAAAAGACATGTCAGTGCTTTTATCTCCAAAAAATGAGGAGAGTGGAAGGACAAAAGTCTTGCCAGGATGCCAAGTAAATTATTTGTAATTCTTTTCATACTGCATTTGTTTCATGGGCACAACTGTTAGCAAAAGTACCAACCCAGTAAAGCCCTGAAGACCAGCTTTGCGAGGAGGAAGCTGACCAGTGTGACCAACAGACCATGCCCAACAATATTTTAGGAGATGCTACCACGTGACTGAATTTTGCTGATCAGTTTTGATGTGTTGTCAAAGTCACTGACAAGCACTTATCTGCAGAGCAATCTTTCAATTAACTTTTCCTTCAGCGTAATTCCGTCTGTGCTTACAGCTTCACTGCACACAGGGTTTGTCCTTACAAAGCTAAGGCTAACGGCCTGGTAAGTGCGGTTCATTCCCCCCGCGTCCAAACCCCAGCCGCATCCAAAGCCTCTCTTTTTATTTATTTGGAAGGACACGACTGGCCACTGTTTAACAATAAACACGTCGGAATCCTCTGACAAACCTCTCTCCTATATAAGAGGATGCCACATCTTCCGAATTTTTCAAACCAAACAAACAACAAAAAAAATGAAAAGTCTGTTCTAAGGCATGAGTAATTCAGGTAAAATTGGTAATTTAACCAAAACTTGATAAACACGACCTTTCATCCATGGATGCTGTCTGAGCATTGCAATGCCTTTTTTTTTGTTTGTTTCTTTCTCCTGCTGTTTTTCAAATAAATGTTAGGAACTGCACATAAAGAGCCTACCAGGAGTTTATTTAAGTATCAGATCTGAGCGTTTGCTGGCACAAGCGCTCATCACTGTCTCTGTGTAACTGGCGTATTGTGAGGTTAAGTGAGGTCAAACCCCATTACCCTGGCCAGAAGCAGTAAAGAGTTGGAGCTATTTCAACCATCAGGCACCCATGATTTGCCATCCAAAACAATAACAAGTTATTATAGTTCCTATGATTGTTTTTTTACGTTATTAACTGTTAGACACTTTATCTCGGTGGTATAAAGAGTTAAGAACTTTGTTTAGTTTGCCCTTCGCCTCTTCTTCATTCCCCAACTGCTAACGAAAGACGTCAGAGGAGAACGAGATGGAAAACAATACACTGCAAAGGCACTTGAAAATGCTCCAGCTCGGGACAACCACACAAAGCAACACAGGCAAAAATCCTCTGCAAATATCAATATTTTCTGATACTTTAGTATCAGATAGATACTTCTAGATATCTTTTTTCTTTTTTAACAGAAATGAAAAAATAAATCTGATTATAGGAAGGAGCTCTGCAATGAAACGCGTATGAACACCCAGAAACGCTTTTCATATTGCAGAGATCTGGGAGGTCAGAACGCACAGCACCCTTTCCTGAAGCAGCACTCGCTGCTGTTCTATAATGTGTCTTCGTAACCTGTAACTGGTAAATTTATTAGGTAAATAGTTTTGTTTTTTTTTTTAAAGGGAGAGAAAAGGTTACCAAAATTGCCAAGCATGATGAACAAACTAGTGTGAGGTAATGCTTCAGAAATTTTCTGACATTACAGACAATAATAAAAGATGACCAGTTCCAGGGACTGTTTTATTGCCCAGGCAGCAACGCAAGTCGCACTATTTCTCCCAGTTGTTTACTGGATCTGGTTATTGCCCTCAGTTTCTACGTCAGAAGTCCCACTCCTGATAAATCATAACCTACTTAACTGACATAATTACGGATAGTATTACAGAAAGCTGATTCATGAGGAATAAAGCACCATCATTCCTACTGCTCCTTTTTAAATTCACTCTAACTTCATTAAACTCTTATTACTGACTATTGTAGAGACTAAAGAAGTAAGAAGGAAAATGATTTTCCTGTTGAGAAATAGCTTCCTTAGAGATAGCAACTACTTAAACCTTTGACTACAAGCTCACAGCAGGCCTAGTGCATTTCAACGTGTAGCTATGTTTTAATTTCCTTAAACCACAGGACATGAGTCACAGTTCCAGTAGTTTCTGAAGTGAGATATTCTGTGCTGATAACGATGCAAAGTTTTACAGCCTGCAGTTTCCAAAAGTGTGGTATGCCACCAGAATTTCACAGAATGGAGAAGATGATGCCCCTTTGCTTGTACGGGGTTAACACCTTTCAAAGGCAGTAGTCTAGCTGCCATTTTTGCGCTTAAATGAATGCACTTCTTTTCTTTCCGAATAACAAGAGTATCTCAAACACTGCTGGTCTCCAAAACCAACTCCCTTCTTCCTCCTATTTCTGTAATTTTTTTCCAATTTCCTTTCACCAATCCAATGATGATTCTAGCTGATCAAGGCATGATGTGCTGCCTGCTTAGATCTCTTACATTTGAAAGCACCGAGCTTTTCCCATGCTGACAGGTACTCTTTTCACAGAGCATCCAAGCATGCTCCACAGTCCATTTCCCACCGCAGTGCACGGTTACCTGCACAATCCCTAAAAAACATTCCCTGTTTATACAGAACATAATTCTGCTACTAAAATTTTTAAATCGGTTTCTATATCTACGAATGTATTTCATCTTATTACTGTAGTCTTTTTACTAGAATATTACCCTTTCAAAACATTTGCAATTAGGAAGTATTATTATCTTCGCGTTCCAGCTGAGCAACGAAGTCACAACGTAAACGCTAACACACACAGGATGAGGAACAGCAAGAAACTGCAGCAGCTTCTCCAGAAGTTCACAGCCCAGCTTAAGTGGTCACCTGTCTTCAACTTCCTTTCATTTATCTGCATCCTGCCCATCCAACAGTTAACCAGCTAGTGAATGAAAATTTTATTAAACTACAGCCACGACAAGTAAAAAGAACCCAGCAGTTGTTCAAGACTCCTCAAACTATATTTCAAAGTATTTTGATGGCTACAAACAGACCACAGGGTTATGTACTCTTGAGCTTAATCACTGACATCTCTGAATAATACCACAACTTTTCTCAAATGTTATTCACTGGGGAAAGAAAAAATTCCAAGAAGATATTCAGCATCTAATAAAAAAAGTTAAATCAGTTCTTCCTTTCCACCCAAGCACCACACCAAGCATTCTCTAACACAGCTCCCTTGGGGCCTGCAATCAGCCCACCGAGCCAGTAGCTAAAGCAAGTCCATGGGGTTTCTTCCATTTGATTGCACTGGTTTACAGTTATCATTGCTGTATCATGTTCTGGTCAGCACCATTTCTGACCATTCTATGCCAGAAAATCACTAAGTATCTTTTTTACAGAATGCAAAAATCTACATCCCATCTACTTCAAGATGTTTAAGATGTTTCTGCTGTTCATTGTATTCTTCAAATTCTCTGACAGATTGTTAAACTGAATCTGCTAGTTTGTTTCTTAACAAAAGCACTGCAGGCCTTTCAGCTTCTCCAGCCCTTTCACTTTCCTGTATTGATTCTAATTTCCCTTCTTTATGCATTCATCTAACTGAAATCTAAGGGAGGAATACTTATTTGATTGGTTTTGCTCATGCACAGGACAACAAATGTAACTACCTGGAAGGCAGCAATATGTGTTAATTTTGAACTACATATAGTCTGTACAACAGAATGTACTTAAAATTCGTATTGCTTATGTTAAAAGACAAAACACTCTGTTTGCTAATGCTTGCTGGAGGAGTTGGGAATTTTACACTATTTAGCCTTTACAGATAAGATTCCCATAATGCTTCAGCAGCAGATCGTACCGACACATTATAAAAACACAACCTATCATTACTCATAAACTTACCCGCCTTTACGTCCTGGTTGAATCGACAGTATTTCGAGCGCTCGAGCAGGGGCAGACATTGCTCAATAGGCGTCCAGACGTACGTCTCTGGACACAACAAGTCAGAGGGCCTGTACTGACCCTAAAAAGGAGACAAGAAAAAAAAAAAAGAAAAAGAGAGTAGTCCTATCAGTTGCACAAGAACGCTCTGGCTATAACTTTCCAGATCTTCCTATGAACAAACAGGTTTAATCTAATCCACACCGAAGCAGGCAGAAACAGCTTCCCTGAAACCACTGGCTCACTCCTTTGGTAACTGGAGCACCGTCTCAGGAATACAAACTGAACCTTGGCACTTGAAGAAAATGTAAAATTAACGTAACGCATTTTTACAGTATCCAAGATGAACTAGAAAAGTTTTGGCTTTGCTTACTGAAACTCTGTATTAAAGTTATCCTCTAGAGTTCTGCTGAGCTGGTGCCGGCACTAAAAAACTCAGCACCTCCAAACGCAGCTTGTGTCAAGTGTTGTTCATTCTAGCAAATAATGGAGAGCAAAAAAAATCTAATAGAAAAAAACACTTAACAGTAAGCAGGATGCTATTTGTATCGTATTAGTGATGGAGCATTTTGTTCGTTGTTGCTTAAATAGTTAATTTTCTTTTTAATTTACAGCGTGTTTCCTGGAATAGCTTACAGGTAATGATTAGTGAAATTCTACCATTTTTTGTTCATTTATTAAAGAGATGTTCTCTGCAGACGTTCCCAGAAACTAAACAGCCATAATTATTTCCCCTTCAGCTACACAGAAAATCACCATATCAGCAATAACAACCTCCTCTAATCAGATCTTAATCTGATTTAAAATAAGATTATTCATTGGCCTATAACTTAAGTCAAAAACATATCTTTGAGCCATTATTCATTTAATCCTTACCCTCTCAACGTTCATAGCCATATGGTGGCAATATCAAATTAAATTTTGAATTGAAAATTCATTACATATATCGGCTTGAAAAAAAGACAGAAGTAAATAGAATGAAAAAGCTTAAAGGATCACGATGACACAGGTCTGGAGGCAACAGTTAAAAGACTGGGCGTTCTACGAAGTCACACTCCAGCTGACGCAATTAAGAGTTCTTCATATCAATTACTTCAAATAGGTAATTAAGATGAACAGCTTGGTATCAATTTGATCTTTTTCCCCAATATCTACTATGAAAAAAGGCAAAGTGGGCTTGAATGAAGCTGACCCGTGTCTGGGAAGGGACACAGATGATTACTGTGACTACAGTCTGGTGACAACGGCACACGTTTAGAAAGTGGCATTCAGAAGCTCTGCTGTTCTTTTAGACACACCCTTCTGCAGCAACACCCAATGCTGGAAAATCAGAACCACCATTTTTTCAATGTTTGCAGAGATTCTACTCTTCATAACATTTACAGTAGAATTAACTTCATTATGTATTTCCAACCAACTGTAAATTGTTGAGTATAAAATAGAAAAATTATGACTTTGTTTTTATCAGAGATAACTGTCCATATGAAAAGAATAACCCAACCAAGCTCCTTGCTGAACTTTGTCAAATACTTGATGTATCTTTCTGAAATGAGTCTGTATGCCTCTGATTTTCTCATGTGAAAAACATTCAGGACTGACTCGTAACTACCACTGCTGGTTTTCAAGGTTTTGTTGCTTTTTTCTTTTTTAATTAAATGCAAATTTTTATACACAATTAAAACAATACTCCTCCAATTCCATGCAGCAGCTTAAACCTCAAGGCCTCAGAAAATCCTCTAAAGCCAGTGAATGGAAATGACATTATTAAATAAACCACTTTGAAATGTTACGCTATCTAAACAGAAATAGTTGAAAGGTATGTGAAGGCAATGCTTAAAGAACACTTTCAGTCACCATTACTCAGATGAAACAATTTAAGGACTTGAGGGAAAAAATATGCCTTTTCAGTCGGATTAAAAAAAAAAAAAATCAGAACATAATGACTTGTTGATTTAAAGACATTTTCTCAACCAGCCAAGAAGGCAGAAAAAGCCAAATAACCACCTTTCAGAGCTGTCACTTCAGCATAGAAAGTACAAGGTGGCAGTTTTGTCTCCCCAGTAGCATGGGAATACTCCTGGGTATAAGTAAAGACTGATCAGTCACGTACAGTTGTCCTAGCAGATACTGCTAGGACACATCACATTTGTGAATCTCACACGTGAAAATTGTATCAATACACAGCCCTGTTCTAAATTTCCCAATTACTTCTACCATGTCGTATTCCGTCATTAAATGGGATGTATAAAGTTAACTGCATTGCAGATTACTAGATTCATTATAACAAAAAAGAGCTTCTTTAGTATTGAGAAAAATTATTATCCCATCCATCACAGTAGATTCAGTATTTATTTTGGCCATCAAAATTCCCTACTTAGGAGGGAACAAGGAAGAAATAGTTCTGAAGTGACTTCCTTTACAAGTTTTCTTGCCCCAAATTCAGAATCTTGTTAATAAATTTCCCTGGAGATGCGTGAGGCTGATGACACATCACTGACCAGTGACACACAGTATGATCAGAGGTAAAAATTAAACCAGCCATTGATGCTCTTCAATAGCCGCCTTTTATAAAAGTATTTCCAAACATACAAGTAGTAAGGTATTTCTACCGTAAAGGCGTTTTATTTACTCTGCTGGTTAAACCCACATCCCATGACTCATTCCACGGAGGACGTGGGACCACAGAGACATACCGAGGCGAGTTCCCCAATGAACAGCGCTGGCACTGTCATGTATTGACAGAGTTAAAAAGGGAATCCACAGAACCTGTTCAATCAAATGCAATCATTTCTAAAGGGCTTTTGTCTCCTGTTCTTCCCTCCCCTAAGCACTTACTCTCAATTTACTTTCTTTCTTAAAAATGTTAAAAACATCAACCCGAAAATAAACAATGAATCCACCTCACTTTTTTTCCTCCCTCCTCTCCCCTTATTCCTGGACTGTGAAAAAATCCAAACCCAAGAACCCAGCCAGGTTCTGCCGCACATACAGGAGCACCTGTACTTCAAGAAATACGTTCATTTTTCATTATTCACTCAAACTATTATATCACCTATACAAATTGCCTCTAAGCATACTATTTATATTCCTTCTTGTTCTTAATACTGCAGTACACTCTCCATGTAAATTCAAAGTAGAAAGGGGATCTCCCGACGGGAACTGCTGCAGAGCTATTTATCACAGTAGAACAACTTCATCAGGTTTGCAATACTGGTTTTGAAAATAATTTCTCTTTGGCTTCCAATTAAATTAGCATGAATTTCAGCAGTAATTTAGTCTATGGTAAAAACTCACAACTGAAAACATTTTGCTTTCTTTTATCTCACAGTATAAAAGCTCTTGCACAGTAGCACTGTTTATGCCGTCCAAACCATCTTGGGAATACTTAACTACAACATTTTCAGCATAAAGTATCATCTTACAGACCATCCCTAAGCACTTGCCTTATGTTTCAGCATCCTAAATCCAATACCACCTGCTGATGAAATGCACTCTGTCAATACACAACAGCACATATTTCTGTCTGTGTATCTCCATTTTGTCGAGAAATATCTGACAAGGCATAAATGTGCTATCTTGACATATTTTTGGCAATAAAAAATACGTTTGCTTAAAATTTTCATGGACATCCAGAAACACCCTTCCTGAGACAGAAGATTAACGCAGTTTGAGCTGTTATGAGAATGGCCACTGCAGGTCATACCAGATATCCATGGTGTAGTCAAGCATCCCACTTCTGATGCCTGTCAATAGAAAATACTCAGTGAAGACTAAAAGAATGGTGTAAAAGGATGTAGCATTTCTCTACCCACACTCTCTTGACCTCCAACAGTTTGCAATATAGATCCTTCCACAACCAGATAACTTCAGTAATAATGCATTTTGCCATTCAGTAATCCGGAACAACTGCTTGAATTTACTTCAGCCTGCAAATTGGAGTTCTGCTTGATGACCATTCCCACCTCTACGACAGAAAGGCAGTGAACAGCCGTTGCATTATCACCAAGATTTTACGATAAATGTTGTATCTCCATCGGTCTGAAAGGACCTAAATTCTTGACTCGTTCCTCTTAACGTAGGCTATTCCATACCTTTAACCACCCTAGTCAATCTGTCCTCTTCTCAATTTTGCTTTCTCTCCTTTCAAACAGGGAGAAAACCATCCAAACTGCATTGGTTAAGGAGCAGGAGAGCACAAGGTATAATAAAGATAAAGAAAACCAAAAGAAAGATTGCATCTATTTAAGAATCTGACTAATCTTTCAAATGGTTTGATTAAAAAGCAGTACTGAAAATTAGTACAGCTAAGAAATTCACAAGTAGGTGGTTTCTTCTACCAAGTCAACTCATTACAATACAGATGTGACTGTTTGTTTAATAAAAAACAGCTCCAAGATATTTTAATTTCACTAATGTTTGGGGCATTTTTCCTCCTATATTATATAATAAGAAAGACTTTTAGGTGTTTTCCCTTATACTATTAGACATGCTGCATTTTAATTGGAAACTTCTGGAAATCAATTTTACAGTGAGGCTGCCAAGCCTACATTAATACTTCACACTGTGATATTTTTGTTTTACAGTTTCCAAATCAGAATTGACCAGAACTTCTCTGAACTTTTGTTCCACAGGAAGGGCAAAGGTTTTAATGAGACTTTAGTCTGGTGATTACTTTTTAAATATTTTGTAAAATCTGAGGGATTTGGTAAGCACTTGAGATGAAAAACACCAGCAGAGTTTGTTTTTGTAGTCTAAGTACAATTTAAAATGTAAAATGACCGAGAAACAGAATAGTCTCAAAAACGAAGGTCAAGCACCAGTAGCACTGAAAAAACAAAACAGGAAGGTTAAACATACATTTAATTCTTTTATCGGGTAGAGTTTACATCTGTATTCTATTTTTTCACAATAAACCCATTGATCTTTTAATAAAAGTGAATTAAGACTGCCTTAGTCTCCATTTCCAGCCAGCTGCTTAAAAAGAAGCTCTCAGACTACGTAAACAAAGTAACCCCAAATTATCAACAGCAATCCATTAGAGCGAGGCAGCACCATCCGAGAAGGAGCGTGCCACGCTATCGG